CGGCCTGTTTTGGGGAGTGATAGAAGGGGGAATACTTTGCCCCACCACTTTTCTCAGCCCCCAATCATGGGATCGACTTTGGAATAGCTATGCTCCCTTCCTGCCACTCCTGAAGGCAATTCCATGGCTGCTAAGATGGAGCAAGTTGTTTCCTCCAGCTTGGCAATATTTTTAACCCTTCTCGACAGGTCAGCCCCTTTTCCATATTCAACACTGAATTCCATATGGTATTTAAAAGCATGTTTCAAAGACCCTCCAAAATTAAGAGCCCCCACAGTCCCAAACATCTCACGGCCCATTGCCAGATTTGAAAAGTCCAAACATCCCAGCATAGGGGTCAATCCAGCCCCCATTTCCAAGCCAAACCAAACTTTTTCTTTCCAAATCTGGTTTTTCCAAGTTCATTTGTCAAATCCGAAAACTCATATTCCTGTTGGGCCTGTTCTGTCAGGACACACTCCTGATTTAATTCCTGAGTGGGCTCCACATATTTTCCCACTGTCTGTTCAAAATTTCCCACTGCCTGTTCAAAATTTCTAGTCGAAGTCGCCATCCAATTCACCTTTTCATGTAATTGTTCCAGTAGGGCATTTGTTTTATAGAAAGCACACAACAAAGCTTCTGAATACATTGTCCTGCAAGGTCAAATGCCTGTTCCCAGGATTGTTATCTGTAACAGCTGCCGGCTCCCTGGAGTTGGTTACAGTTACACAGTCTCCCTCTAGGGGGAAAACTTCTATTTGTTCTTGCAACAAAGTTTCCCTTTTTGAGATACTTTGTCAATATTTGTTGCTTAAAGATGCGAAGGGAAGCAGTGGAATCGCTATGTTTCTCTTCTTTTAGCTATCTGTCAAAAACGCTTGTCTCTGGTCAATGAACTTCAAACGTCAGTCCTGACACCCCGCTCCAGGATCAGGACGGAGGAAAGTTACTTTACTTTAAACTCACTTTAAACAGTCCGGAAAAGATCCCCCTCCTTCTCCTGCTGTCGAAGGGGGGGTCCACAATTTTAAATGATGAAATCCAATCCTTTAAAGGCGATTTTCTAAGCTCTAGTTTACGTTGTCTTTGCTTTATTCTGTCTACAGAAGAACGGAAGGCTGACTTCCTGTTTAAACCTTCCCGTTCCATACCAAATTTAAATAGGTTTTTAAAATCCAATTCCTTTCTGCTCGCAAGTCCTTATCTAATGTCCAGTTGTTCAAAGTCTAAGTACTCACGGGTGCTTATTTTAGAGTCTGAATTGTCCCAGGAAAAAGGCAGCGCTCTCTGGCAACGGCTGTGCGGCTTCACTCCACGGAAATAGCAGTTGACTCACAGCACTGCGCCACTTCCCCCTCTTCACTTCGGAGCCCGTTGGTGGGTTCCTTAGCGAGTTGGGGGGGCGCTAAAGGTGCCCGCTGAGTCCCATGGTCACAGGCTTCATCCGCCTGTGATTTTTAAAAGGGTCCCCGCTTCGCCGTAGCGGAAAAGACCCGTTTCCCGCGGAGCTAGTCCCTCCTGTTCAGAGGGAGTCCGCCATTGCCGATGGCGCCACCCCGGAAGTCGCCTTCAGATGTATTCTAAAGGTTGTATAGTTACTTATCTCCTTGGCTTGGTGGACTCTCATGAATCCATACCCTCCAACATTTCTCCAATGAAAATAGGGACATCCTAAAGAAAAATGGGACATCCCAGAATCAGGTCAGAAACCGGCTTCTTTAAATCTAGGACTATCCCTGGAAAATAAATAGGGACACTTGGAAGGCCTGGAATTTGTTGTTGTTTGCTTCATTTATATGTAATTGTGTTTGATAGTATAGCAATTGCATTGTTTGCTGTTTTTTAATCCCTTTGTATTATTGTGAGTTGCTTTGAGCTCAATATTTGTTGTTGGAAAAGCAGAATAGAAATATTAAATAAATAAATAAATAAATTAAAAAATCCTTTCTATCCTCTCCCACATTCTTAATGGAGTATTTGGACTGGGAAGCAGGCAAACCAACTCTCGGTCAGGACTGTCACACATTAAGTTGTGACCAAGATATGGAACCGATGGGTGGAGTTGCGCAAATGAAGGACTGGGATGACACCATTCAGTAGAAGAGTTGGTTCTCACAGAGCACTGCTAAGAAGACCTCTGGGGCAAGAAAATATACAGGCCACAATTGGCAAGACTGTTGGGCCAGAGGAAAAGCCCGCCCCTGTCAAGAAGCTGAGGCTAACTGAGACCAATCTGACCCCCTCTAGTGTTCTTGAGGAAACTGCTTTACTCTCATACATAGAAAGGAATGGCTGCCATTCACTCTTGCACCGCTCCCATTCATTTCAGTGAGACAGGTGCAGGGAAATTCCCTAGTGACTCATGCTCCATAATAATGGGGAGGGGAAGAACTTAGATTTCTGGCTCAGATATCAAAATATTATGGACTAGCACCATAGGCGTAGTCAAGATTTATTTTAGAGGGGACAGGCATTATGTTGGGGGGAGCAGAACCAAGTTATTTGAGACACAATTGGTAAGTTAGTTTTTTTTAAAAAATTATTTACTTGATTTGGGGGGACAGTTGCCTCCCCACCCCCCGCTAAACGCATGACTACACTGCCTATAGCTAAAGATTTGGCTTCCTTGCCCACAAGACTTCATAGCTTCTGTGCCCTGCCTCCTGACGTTCCCATCTCACAGCCATCCATCCCAAAGAGCTTTGCTTGAAAGAGGGTTTTCTCCCAGCTCAGGAAGTATTCTGCCTTGCCCCCAAAGCAACTGCCTTTATTGACAATATTCTATGACCACCCCATCCCTAGAGTACTACCTACATAGCAGCTCGGCAGCCAGAGATGGCCATGATAGTGGCAGGCAGGCAAGATCTCAGTGGGCCTAGACCTAGTCTATCATCCCATTTCAGTGAATTAAATCAATATGCAGGGGGGGAAATGGTGTCTGCAGGTAGATCTGCTGTAATGGGTTCAGGGAAACCTTTTGCAAGGGGGTTGCACAGGGAGGCAATATCTAGGACAGGGATAATGTATGAAAAATTCAGTGCATTATTCCATATTAGGGCTTTCCATCAAACATCCCAAGTAGATATTCATCTGCCTGCTGCTCCCTTCATACTCTGAACTGGAGCCTATGGGAGTATGTAAGGGTTTTTGTTTCTTGTCAAAACGACATAAAAGAATTTCATGTCTACAACTGTTAGAATAACATAGGAATATATGGTAAAAAGATAAAGGTAAATGGACCCCTGACCATTAGTTTCAGTTGTGGCCAACTGTGGGGTTGCGGTGCTCATCTCGCTTTATTGGCCGAGGGAGCCGGCGTACAGCTTCCGGGTCATGTGGCCAGCCTGACTAAGCCACTTCTGGCGAACCAGAGCAGCACACGGAAACGCCGTTTACCTTCTAGCCGGAGCGGTACCTATTTATCTACTTGCACTGGTGTGCTTTCGAACTGCTAGATTAGCAGGAGAAGGGACCGAGCAACGGGAGCTCACCCCGTCGCGGGGATTCGAACTGCCAACCTTCTGATCGGCAAGTCCTAGGCTCTGTGGTTTAACCCACAGTGCCACCCACGTCCCTGGAATATGTGGTAGCTTCACGTTATTGCCTTGTATCACTATTCTACCACCACCTGCATGGCTCTGGGCAGCTAAAATGCATATTAAAACCACAAAACCCTTTAAAATATTGCAATGAAGCCCGTATCCCTGCCCACCAAAACCAACTGCATTTTTTAAAAAGTATAATACACAGATGATAAACAAACCTTTGAAGAAACTCCTGGTGGATGAGTGTGAGAAACATGTGTCCTTTCCACCCTCCTGTCCTTTAATCCTTGGCCCTCTTGATTTATGACCCTCCTGCTGCTGATAGTGGTCAGTTTCTAAGGGCTACAGTTCCAGAGCTTACAATTACCTGCCAGCCACATTCTCTGGCATGGAAACCCCAGCTTTATCCTTAGCTGCAATGTCTTGGTGCAGAGGGAGAAGCAGGCCCAAACCCTGCCACTGGCTTCTCCAGGTTTGAGGGGGCCAAGACAAGGAAACAATATTTCTCAATACAGCAGTTCAATCATATCTATTCCAGTGGGAGTTATTCCAAAACAACTGCAGCCTTCATTAATAGAACTGAAAAGAAAGGTGGCAATCATTCATTTAATCAAGAGGAATGCCCAGGATTTGGTGCAAGATGTAAGCATTATTGAACTCCTTCAAAACAGTGGTTACAACACTATCAAATTCAAAATGTATGTGGGTGGAAAATTGCCCCAAAATTCCAGCACCGTCATATTTAACTTCAAAGGAGGGGGGATAAAGGGAGGGGACGGTGGGATTAGTTAAAAGGAAGTTAAAAGGAAGCTGAAAGGTACAATTAAGAGGACAAAATCCCTTTACGACGCTTGAAGGATACTTTATACAAATGCTATAATAGAAACTCAAATAAACGTGTCACGTATTTTTAAATGTGCAAATAAGTCCAAAAGGGCGACCACATTGTAAGATGACAAATGAAATAGCAGAGAGAAAAGGAGGCTATGCCATGCAAGAAACGACCCCAAATGAGGGAAATGTAAATGGCACCAGTTCTCACCATCCAAATGTGAATAACGAGGAGGCATGCAAAGATGGAAATTGGGAGAAAAACTTTGCTGATTTTTTAAAAAGATTTTTTTTAAAAAAATTGTGGGTTGTATCCAGTGCTGGTCTTACTCAAAGCAGGCCCACTGAAATTAACTGATCTACAGGATAAGGTGAAGATTTAAGGATGTTGATGTCTAAGTTAAATTTTATAAGAATTGGGATCTGGAAAACCGTTAAAAAGACATGCAATGAAATTCAACCAAGGGGAAGTGAGGAAGTCACTTAACAAAGTTAATAAGTGTAATTTGCAATAAGGCTATGATTAATGTTTGTTTGTCTTATGTGTTTGTTTGTTTGTTTGTTTGTTTGTTTATAATATTGTGAAAACTAATTAAAAAATTTGAAGAAGAAAAAAGAAATTAACTGATCTAAGTTAAAGGCGGCTGGGCTCAGTGGTAGAGCATCTCCTTCCCACACAGAAGGGGCCAGGTTTGATCTCTGGTATCTCCAAGGCTCCTGTCTTAAACACTAGAGAGCTGTTGCCAGTCAGTGTAGACAATACAGAGCTAGGTGGATCCTATGCAGTTTTCGTGTCCATTCATTTTTATGGGTCTGCGCTGAGTAGGACTAGCATTGGCTACTAATCCCGAAGTCCCAGCACTGTTCCCCCAACACACACTTCAAGTGTTAGTCAGAACATGGGAAGCTGCCTTATATCCAGTCTGACTATCTGTCTACCCCGGTATTGTCTACTCTGGCTGGCAGCAGCTCTGCAGGGTCTTGAGTGGAAAAAGGTATTTCCAATCATCTGCTATCTGATTATCATCATTGATGTTGTTGTTGTTTAGTCGTTTAGTTGTGTCTGACTCTTCGTAACCCCATGGACCAGAGCACGCCAGGCACTCCTGTCTTCCACTGCCTCCCGCAGTTTGGTCAAACTCATGCTGGTAGCTTCGAGAACACTGTCCAACCATCTCGTCCTCTGTCGTCCCCTTCTCCTTGTGCCCTCCATCTTTCCCAACATCAGGGTCTTTTCCAGGGAGTCTTCTCTTCTCATGAGGTGGCCAAAGTATTGGAGCCTCAGCTTCACGATCTGCCCTTCCAGTGAGCATTCAGGGCTGATTTCCTTCACAATGGAGAGGTTTGATCTTCTTGCAGTCCATGGGACTCTCAAGAGTCTCCTCCAGCACCATAATTCAAAAGCATCAATTCTTCGGCAATCAGCCTTCTTTATGGTCCAGCTTTCACTTCCATACATCACTACTGGGAAAACCATAGCTTTAACTATACGGACCTTTGTTGGCAAGGTGATGTCTCTACTTTTTAAGATGCTGTCCAACATCATCATTAGTAAGAGGTAAAAAGGTAAAGGACCCCTGGACAGTTGAGTTCAGTCAAATGTGGCTGTGAGGAGGCAACATTCATTTCACTTTCAGGTCAAGGGAGACGGTGTTTGTCCACATACAGCTTTCCGGGTCATGTGGCCAGCATGACTAAACCGCTTCTGGTGCAACAGGACACTATGACCGAAACCAGAGCACATGGAAATGCCATTTACCTTCCCGCTGCAGTGGTACCTATTTATCTACTTGCACTTTGACGTGCTTTCGAACTGATAGGTTGGCAGGAGCAGGGACAGAACAACGGAAGGTCACACCGTCAGAGGAATCTGAACCACTGACCTTCTGATCGGCAAGCCCAAGAGGCTCAGTGGTTTAGACCACAGCGCCACCCGCATCCCTTTACCTTTATCATCATTAGTATTATAATATTGATTATTTATTAAATTTGTATCCCGCCCTATACCAGTAGATCTCAGGCGGTTCACAACATAGAATCCCAATATTAAAACAACAGAAAATACATAATAAAAACAAAGACAACCCAATAATCCCCCTTTCCACAACACGTTTTAAAAAGGCATTGGGTGTCAATTAGCCAAAGGCCTGGTTAAAGGGAATGTTTTCGATCAGTGCCTAAAGGTGCATAATGAAGGTGCCAGCTGAACCTCCGGGGGGAGCACATTCCACAAAATGGGAGCCACTGCAGAAAAGGCCCCTTCTTTCAGACCTCACCTAATCTTTCTAACTAGCAATTCAGGGGGGGGGTGAACCTGAGATATTCTGCATGCAAAGCATGGCTCCTCCCACAACTCCACTCCCCCCCCCAAAAAAAACCGCAGGGGGTCCCAACAACCTATCTTGGAAACCTGAATTCTAGCCCACCTTCCTGTCTCCAACTGTGGCCTGTCAGATTATCCTGAAGAGCCCACAAGCGGGGCATGAAGACCACGATTGCTCCCTGTTGCTTCCCTGAGCCCTAGAGGGTTACTTTATTTGTTGCCCGTCCACTTCCACCTCCAATTTCGCATTAAACAGCACCAACACATTCCAGGCTAAAAGGTGTTCTGTGCATCATTCTGTGTAAACGCCCCTGGGCATTTTTCAGTCCGGGAAGGGAATCTTTATGCCATAATAAATAAATAAATAAAAATGGTTTGTTTTGAAGGCGCCGCCAGACTCATTTGTTGATTTGCTGCAACAGCGTTAGCTCTCTGGAAACTGAGTGCTAGGAAGGACGGGGGGCGGGGCGGGCATTGCTTTTTCCAGTCGTTGTTAAAGCTCATCCTGGAAAAGAAAGATGAATTTCAATGGTTTCCCGCATAATGCTCTGCAAAAACAAGAAGCTACTTATTAAAACATGTGATCAGTCCACGTGCTCCTTTAAAAACTGGAAAAGAAGGGAGATTTTATTCAACTCGTACTGTACTGCCGCCCATCATTTTGTGTAACCTAAAACTTTCGCTAAGAAGTCGTTTAAGATAGCATTTAGATGCGTCTGTCCCTCATTACCTATTTTCAGAAGAGGGAGGGAGGTGGAGTTTTGTTCGATTTCATGAATCCCTTTGTGGCCACGGAGAGAAGCTGAAGGAAGGGTGTGTGTGTGTGTGTGAGAGAGAGAGAGAGAGAGAGAGAGAGAGAGAGAGAGAGAGAGAGAGAAGCGTTTTAAAAGCTCTTTAAAATGTCAATTATTCCTTTTTGCATTGAACAAGTTTCGCCCTTGCCTTTGCCCTTCATTCCTGCCCGCCCCCACCAGCTGAAATTATGTTTGCAGAGAACATAGGGAAAATCAAACCTACAATAATAAAGGGGAAGATTACAAATACAATCTTTCTTTCTTTCTTTCTCTTTCTTTCTTTCTTTCTCTTTCTTTCTTTCTTTCTGGTGTCAAAGTGTGACCAAAACTTAAATTATTAGACCCTAAATTCTTACAGCGCTCTCTCCAAAGATGCGGGTCATATTTCTCCTGCAAATCTATTTCTTGATTATGTTTTGAAGGACTTAAATCGTAAATTCAAACCTTCACACATAACATTTTTTCCCACCTTTTTCTGGGGGTGGCGGGTAAGAAATGGAGCGCAGGAGATTTATGTTTCCTCGAATAGTTAAATTCCCTGGAAGTTAACTCTAGAAAATGAAATTTTTCAGTGCATGGATTTGGGTTATTAATGAGGGGGAAATCCTCTAGATCATAAATTCATAATTCCAGGCCGATTTACATCTCTCTCTCTTTTTTCATTTTTATGGTTTGAAACCTAAGTAGAAGAAATTTCTACTGTAGCTGCACATCAAGAAAGTCCCAACACCATCATTCTCCCTGCCCCTTGGTACTTCTTGCAATGTCTGCACTTTCTGGTCATTTAAATGCGTGAAAACACTGCATACAAATTGCTTATCTATTATAGAATAGGAAAGAGAAGCTTTTATTCATAGCACCAGACCTTCCCGGAACTCCGTGTTATTGTCCGTAATTCAGAAATAATTAAACTCCTGCTAACTGGTGCCACTTTTGAATTTACGAAGAAAAGAAGCCAGTTGCCGAAAACAGACCAGAAAAAACACCCCTAACAACCCTAGCCCTTCGGTTTTTCCCCACCCCAGATAGTCATTGAATTAAATATAGAGCAAACCTATGGATGTCTACTCAGAAGTAAGTCTCATTGTGTTCGGCGTGCACAGGACTGCAGCAGCTTCCATCTCTCCATATGCGCCTGTGTAAAGTTTGAAACAGTGGCGAATCCATTCCACAACCCAGTTAAATCAAAAAGTTTGCATTTACGTCGAGTTGAAACGGTGGTTCAATTTATTTTGAGTCTAAAATCTCACTCCATCTATTGAGATGGGGCTGGAAACTGCCCCCCCTTTCCCCCTCCTTTTCTACCCCAGTTCGAAATCCCACTTATTTTCTCTTCTCCCCTTTCCATGCTCCGATTTCTTCCTCTAGAAATGCGGGATTAAGGAACTGTAAATTACTTTACACACACACACACACACACAAAAAGGAACAATAAACTATGGTTTATATAACTTTGTATTTATTATGTATTTATGGAGGGGCAAGTGAAAGGCTCTCCCGTTGTTGTAGTTTCGCTATGATATTTTTGCATGGGGTTTATGATTAATAATTTATTGCAATAAAGTGAGAGGGGAAGGGACAGTATATGGGAGGGGAACTTTTTTTCTTTAAAAAAGAGAGAGAGAGTACAGACTGTGTGTGAGTACAGACTTAGTAAATGTTTCCGGTCTCTACTAAAAATCAGACTCGTATTCCGAACTTCAGTCTTTGTAACAAGATTAGGTTCTTGACTGTGAATTTATTGATTCTTAAAACGTTAAGGATTTGTTTGACTAGATATTGGAAGCAAACAGGTTGATTGATGTTTGAGAGCAATATTAGATAGATGATAGATAGATAGATAGATAGATAGATAGATAGATAGATAGATATTTGGCTGGTCATTTCTGGGTAGACTAGATGAGACCACAGAAATAATTCATTTTCACTGCGGTACAGAAATTTAATAAGTAATAATAACACTTGCAAATAAAACAACAAGAGAGTAAAACTGACATGGGAACCCACTCTCCTCAAAAACTGTAAAGTCTGCCTCGTTACTCCGGTATTTAATATTCTAAAGCAATAATTCCTTCCAAGGACATTATTTGAACAAGTTACTTGTTGCCCAAGCCTGGCTTTCCTAAAGATCTCAAAAACATATCCACGCACTTGGAAGCTGTTTGTATCTTCTGGACCCATTTTCATCTCTTTTTAACGGAGGCATTAAAAACAAATGCAGGGTAAGATAGCGAAGGTCCTAACTGGGATGGAAAAGGCATCTATCCCCTCGGTATGCCGCGCTCACCTGCGCAGAATTACAAGCTCAGTAGTTTTCCTCGATTTGAACAACGTCGAATTTAAGGACGTGGCGAAATATTTTCCAAATGGCTATTTCGCTTTTGTGGCTCGCTTGCAATGCCGATTTATGTCCCTTTTCAGGTTTTTTTTGTTTTTGTTTTTCTGAACTCCCCTCTGTTGCATGTTTGCAGAATGCGACAGCGCTACCTTGGTTTTTGCGCTGTAATTCTATTGCATGACGAACTTACGTAAACAAGACTCCGTTGGAGGTTCTTGAACAGAGGTTGGATGGGATTCCTTAGCTGTGATTTCTACATTGCACAGGGTTGGACTACATGGCCCTCGGGTTCCCTTCAAACTTTAAAATTCCATGGTTCTACGAGCTGCATAAAACTCTTACAAAGCCACGCAGCCACTTTCGTCTACCCATCTGCTGATTTCTCTTGTGCCTGCTCAGGAACCTTCTTCGCATACATTTATTTATTTCTCTCTGCATACACCCCTCTCTCCCCACCTCCCCAACTTCTATAAATTTTAGCTATGCTAACTGAATTTTTAACATCGGTCTGTATTGCGCGTTTTATGGGTCCTTTTAATCTGCATCCTTAGAATTGCATAAACACCAGTAGCATTTTTAATGGTGCTTTTTTTCAGTGTGCAAAGTGTCCCCGCACACTATCAGTCCTCATAGCAGCCACTCACTATGGCAGACTAGCGTTACGCTCCTACCTGGAAGGCGGTGGGGCTCAGGCTACGAAGCCATAGCTTGTTTTGTGAGTTCGGGCAAAGGTGAGGGGAAAAGGCAACTTCGAAGGTCACCGCTCATGCTTAGCTTCTGCCCCACATTCTGTATACAGATTCTAATACAGTGCACCTATTTTTTCTTTTCTAGTATGGTATTATGTGACTGAAAGCTAAATATTTCACCTGATGGAGTTTATATTGCCTGAAAAGATCATTTTGAAATATTCATGTACAGATAGGCACTCTGTTGGCTTCCCGCGCTCTAAAACCATATGCGTGTGTGTTTGTGTATATGTATATATCTACACATAGAGATAGATCAATAGGAATGAAAAGGGCTATTTTAAAACCACGAACTTATACTAAACAATTCAGCTGAAGACGGGGCTCCATTCATTCATTGCTCAAACAGGATAATTAACCCTTTTAATTACAGATCTTTTTAATAAGCTATAGTGCTGCTCGGGTTTGGTTTCAGAGGGTCTGCTCTGGCTATAACTAACATTAGATTATGTGACCCTAGCCAATTATAGATAGATAGATAGATAGATAGATAGATATAGATGGATATAGATGGATATAGATAGATATAGATAGTAGCATTTGTCTATGTAACGTTGTCTATGTGACACGAGACAAATACATATTATATCTCCTCGCTCAGGTACAATCTTCCTTTGAGAACCATCCCCACTGTATAACTCAAGTTAGGCGACAGCTTGTTAAAAACCATGCTTTCCGCACTATCCGATCTAAAAAATACTCAACTCTGGGCTCCATAACCCTTTGTGGGAATGTTAGGGGAAGTCGGAGAGGATAATAACAATCTATCCTTTCCTACCTTCCTTAACATTCCCACAAGATAACTGCGGGGACAACCTATTATTTGGAGAGTATCCATTACAGTCTTAGCCTTTACTCAGTGAGGAAAGACCTAAGTAAGAGCCCGCAGAAATATTCAGTCACAGCTCTCTTGGCGCTGAGATTCTGGCGTGTGGGTGGGTGCTGTTAAAATTACAGGTTGTGAATCTGAACAGAATCATACATCACGGTCTTTTCCTGGTGTGTATCTCTCCGAGGGCTATAAGAGTTACAGTCACTGGGCGCTATAGATGTTTGATAATAAAAAATGTAAGTCGGAGATACAGCTCTGGATCCATAATGTTTGTGTATTCAGAAACGCTTATTTGGATGAATTATTATTATTATTATTATTATTAATCTGAAGGCAGCCCGGTATCGGGAAGTTTTTAATGTTTGACGTTTTATTATGTTTTTATATGTGCTGGAAGCCGCCCAGAGTGGCTGGGGAAACCCAGCCAGGCGGGCGCGGTATAAATAATAAAATTATTATTTTAAAAAATGATTGAATTAATAAGGCGAGAAGGGAAAGCGATTCTCATACCCAGGACACAACACACATACACTCGCTCCGAGGAATCCTTCGTTTCTTTGGAACTTCTGCGCAAGCCACGTTGCTGCGCGTGGCCTTTTGGGAAACCCTTTGCGAACACGACCCTTAAAATCCATTTCAACACTGCAGGGCTAGGAAGGGAGAGGAGTCTTGTCCTCCTCACTTAGAAAACTGGGTATTTTTTAGCTTGGCCATTTTATGCAGCAGTCAGGAAAAACACCTCCACCTATAAACCCTTCCTTAACCGGTTTTCGGTCAACACAGGCCGTGCTATAGCCTTCTCCTTTTATTTACAGATGTCTTACCCTTTTACGGTGTGAAAGTGTTTCCCTTCGCTTTTTGTTTGTACAACGGGTGGAGGGGTTTGGGTTTGTTTTTTTCATGAAAGCTCTCTCGCTCTCGCTCTCGCTCCCGCTCCCTTTCTTTGGCCAAGGTAGTGGGGGAAAGCTGATGAAACGCACGTAAGTTTTGACTGACGGCTCGAACGACCAGGTCATGCTTAGTGCAGACAAAGGGCCTCCGAGCCAAGGTTGCCTCGAGAAGTTCCGAGGGGTGTGGGGAGACAGGAATAACTTTCACCCACGATAAGGGGAGAGGAAGGTAGACTCCAGTTGCCCTTGAGACTGACGATTTCAGGTTGACGCCCTCCCAGTTCATTCGCGGACGCTGCTCGGATGAAAGGGAGGTTTGCAATCCTGGGAATTAACGAGAGATTCCAGATCGATGTTCACTATGTTAATGTGAATTTTATGACCTGGTTCCACACCTTGACATTGGCCACCAAATTTATACACCCACATTTCTGGGTTGTACCCCAGCTTGGTTTGCTTTGGTTTATTGGACATATATATCGTTTTATACTGTTTTAAAAAGTCTCGACGCGATTTTCAGTGTAAAATAACATGTAATAAAACATGTGTTCCTAAAACTTTGCAAGGAACCGGTGTTGCTTTGTTTTAAAATCTGCTTGCAGCTTATTATGCAACCCCTCAAAAAAAGAAAAAATCAGTGGGTTGCACTCAGTGCTAGTCCTACCCAGAGTAAACCTATGTTAAGTTAATGAACAAGACGAACATATTCATTCAGTTCAATAGGTAGGACTAGCCAATGCTGCTTTATGGCATTTCGGTTCAGCAAAGAATTCCTTTCCCCTTCCCCTGGTGATGCTGGCCAATAATCTTCCCTTGTTGACTTAATTTTTTTGCTGTTTGTGTTTTGTTCTGCCTTATATGAATCGGCTCTTTCTTGAAGTAATCATCCATCTGGTGGCTGCATGACTTGTAACCCACTAAGGTGAATTAAGCTCACTAGCAGCACCGGATTGAAAGGATCAGCTTGACTATAAAGACTTGTACACCAAATTAAATTATATGGCTTCTCTGTAGTTTTTCTCCTTCCTGAATCCTCACTCAATTAAGCATGTTTTAAAGAGGGGATTCATAGTGTTGCTATCCAATCTGGCCCACGTGCTGTTACCAATAATAAGATGGCCCTTTGTATGCTGTGATCAAATATAAATCTGAGTCTGTGTCCCTTGAAGCTTATCTCTCATCCTCCTCTTATAACAGTTTTACTCAGCTCAGAATGCAGTGAATGCAAACTTGGTGCTTCTTCCCAGGAAAAGGAGCTGTTTCCATCATCTCTTCTTTCCGGAATCATCCATTCACCATACAGTGTTGGCTAGTGTGAAAGAGAGACTGGTGACTGAACACACGATGAGCCTGTAGCTCCATCACCACCAGACATATCCTTTGAGTTGAATCAGGAGGCCGTGAAATGCCCTCTGAACATGCATCAGATAAATATTGGGGCTTTCACAAGTCTAGTCACCAAGGGCCATAAAGCAAAACTTAGGTATATAGGCTTGTCACCCTATCAAAGTGTCCAAATAAATCTGGGGTGGGGTACATTTTTTTCACCTCGAAACCCACATTCTCTTCTGGAGAACCTTCCAGGAGCCACATCTTAGTGGTGGGCAAATCCAGAGGCAAAAGTAGGAGGGGCAAGGAATGTAAATTTCACCTTTGCACACTAGGGTAGTTTCTATACACACACACACACACACACACACACACACCCTCTCTCTCATCAAACAAGCAAGAGGCATGGTAGGAGCTAAAGAACACATCCCATCCAGGCAAAGAAGAAGAAGAAGAGTTTGGATTTGATATCCCACTTTATTACTACCTGAAGGAGTCTCAAAGCGGCTAACAATCTCCTTTCCCTTCCTCCCCCACAACAAACACTCTGTGATGTGAGTGGGGCTGAGAGACTTCAGAGAAGTGTGACTAGCCCAAGGTCACCCAGCAGCTGCATGTGGAGGAGTGGGGAAGCGAACCCGGTTCACCAGATTATGAGTCCACCGCTCTTAACCACTACACCACACTGGCTCTCAAACACTCAAGGAGAGTTTGAAGTAGGGTCTGGAATTGGGTGTTGCTGGGGAGGCGGTGTGGCCTGGGGAGAGCTCTGGGGGACATAGAGGTAGTCTTGAGGGGCTGCATTCTGCCCCTGGGCCTGACGTTCCCCTGTGATTAATCATCCCCAACCTCTGTATTTTAAACATTTCAAGTAAGTGCCAACATATGCTCCCCAAGTCATTTAGCTGTACAGTGTGGTATGATTGATGCTTTTGAATTATGGTGCTGGAGGAGACTCTTGAGAGTCCCATGGACTGCAAGAAGATCAAACCTATCCATCCTGAAGGAAATCAGCCCTGAGGGCTCACTGGAAGGACAGATCGTGAAGCTGAGGCTCCAATACTTTGGCCACCTCATGAGAAGAGAAGACTCCCTGGAAAAGACCCTGATGTTGGGAAAGATTGAGGGCACAAGAAGAAGGGGACGACAGGATGAGATGGTTGGACAGTGTTCTCAAAGCTACAAACATGAGTCTGACCAAACTGCGGGAGGCAGTGGAAGACAGGAGTGCCTGGCGTGCTCTGGTCCATGGGGTCACGAAGAGTCGGACACGACTAAACGACTAAACAACAACAAGTGGTATGATGCTTGTGGGATGCTGTGGTGGTTCGTGGACCAAACTAGTGACAGCTATTGTACAGCCACCTTAAAAACAGAGAGATTCAGAACAAACTACCATTCATTCCTGTTCATGGTTACCTGGCAGTAAACACCACTGAACTCAGTGGTGCTTATTTCTGCTGCCTAGGTAGAACTTGTAAAACACATTTGGTTCCAATGAAAGATATGCAGACAACTGAAATGCAAGCTTTCACTTTTAATTAACTGTGTGGAACACAGGGCTTTTTTTCAGGGGAAACTCACAGGAACTCAGTTCTGGCACCTCTCAGATGGGCGCCGTTGCCATTCTAAGAGAACGAGGGTGATGTTCATGGTGAGTTCCGGCACCTCTTTTTCTAAAAACATAGCACTGGGTGTTACCTAATGATTAAATTCTCCCTGCAAAGAGAAAAAGGGACTGTTATGGCTGGCAGAAAACCTGCTCTTTCCTCCCTTTATTGGTCACTGCATGCAATACAGGAAAACGTCAAGACTCTACAGCTTCCTTCCCTTGTCAGTCATCCCAGTGCTATTCAGCAGCCAAAAGATTGGAAGGTGGGAACAGGTTATGGAGCAGCTGGGAATCAACACTGCCAGCACTGCATATGTAAGTGCTAGAGATACCAATTTATTTAATTTTTCATGTAGAGGCTCCTTCCCTTGACTCATGGTCATTTCTGCATGGAAGGCTTTTTTAAGTTAGACACTATGGAGATCTGCAGCTCCTGCTTCTTTCCCTGTTTGTTCTCTCCAAGTAACTGCTCCTTCTACCCATCTTCTTGCTGATATCCTTCTGGACCAACAACAGGGTTTATGTTACCAATCCTCTTGAAAGGTAGGAGTTGATGGAAATGTTTCATCGTCTCCCCTCCTAAAATAAGCTGCTTCACGCTCACCTTTCTGCAAGGAAATTTTATAGCAGAAGAAGCTTCTTCTGGAGGAATGACCATTGGGGTCTTTGTGTGCAAAATACAGGCATCCCCATGACATGGAAGCAAGGAGGACTCTGGAAGAACCTCAGGAGGGGAAGAACCTCAGGCCTGGTAGCTGAATGCAAGATTTGAGGCATCTATTAAAACTCTTCCCAGGCCACACTGCTCACTGTCTGTGCTTAACACCCAGAGTGTTTTTACTTGGCTGAGAGATATCCTTGAACCCTGATGCTTCTTTCTTGCATGGGTAGAAGACAGAAAGGGGTATGTAAATGTGTGTAGAAACTAGCCAATTGTACAAAGCCTCTGCCTGCTTTTCCCTTTGGATCACTGGCATGTGTGGCCCCCAGAAAGTTGCCCAGAAGGGAATGAGGCCCTTGGGATGGAAAAAGGTTAGCTGATGTCATGGACTGGCTGGACATAGAGGAATGATGGGAGGCACCAGCTGGGAACCGCCAAGGCTCAGAACCCAGGGATTGAGGGTGGGATGACAAAGGGAGAAGAGGGAGATGACTGGGAGGAGGAGGTGTCGGAAGTTGAAAGAGGTAACAGGGTTTAGTGAGCAGGGAGAGTCTGTAGCAGAAAGAAGTCCAGAAGCAGCAGCAGAAGCAAGAGAGGAGGGAGGCCAAGAGGCACAAGGGAGTCAGGCTGGTGAAGAAGCCAGGGTGTCTCCTCCTGCTGCTGTGACAAGTCCCACTGGTCTCCCAGGACTAGGAGAGGTATGAAGCAGGAGAAGCAAAGACAGATGTGCCATTGTAGTCTCAGATTGCTTGGGAAAGACTGCCTCATAGGGCCCCTATACTTTCCAGAAGATTTGAAGGGTGCTGTTAATTCACTCAGGGTGCACATACAAGGCAACAATGAAGTCCAAGCCCTAGCACCCCTTGCAGAAAGGGTGCCAGTCAGTAACCCATATGCCATTCCACACACACACACACACACACACACACACACACACACACCATTGATACATTTCTGAGAGTTCTTGGGAACTTAGACAGAAATCAAAATGCTTGAATCAAGCCTTTTCATTCTGCAAGCAATTGCCCATTGATGCTAAGAGTGGCCAGGTCCTGAAATTTGATCTAAACTTCCAGATTGCAGGATGTGTTTGCTTATTCTGCGTGCCGGATCACCAGGCAAATGAGTAAAATATTGTGTGAGGACAATAGCTTTTTGACCTTCAGTGCCCAAACAGATGTTTCTTCACCATTCTAGAGAGGGTTTTGTAACGGGCATCTGAATTATAAAGGGCATGCAACAGCATGTTCCCTTTGCTGTTTGCTTTCATCCCTGCCTTCTGACCCACTGCACGTAACAGACTCTTGCCCCGATTCACTAAGTGCCAAGCCTACTGAGACTTGTACTCCTTGCCCTGCCAGGCCCCACCCCTGAGCTTCTTGCTGTGACTCTGTCCCCGGCTCTGAAACTCAGGAGACTAAGCAATTCCAGTTAGTGTCCGTTGTTTCCCACTAAGGACCAATGCCAAAAGGCAACCTAATGAAAATGACACAACACAGAGCAACCTGGAGCACAACAGTATATATGCCAACATAAAAGCAGTCCCAACATCAGCAGGTGCAAACTTGGAACACACAGCCACTCTCTCGGCCATTGAGGCTGGTAGGATGGAAGGTAGGGAGGCCAACAGTAGGGGGAGCCAGAGCCAATGGCTGGTGGAGCTAGAGCCTAAGATAGGGGGAGC